CTAATATGGAGTAAAAAAAGATCATGTGATACTTGAAAAAATTTCATACTCTAAAATACAATAAAATTCAAGTATTTAATGCAACCACAATGGGTATGAGTGGTTTTCTACTGCACTATTATTTTCTTACAAAAAATTATATCTTACTTTTGTTGCAAAACATTATTCATTAATACTATATTTTTAACTTTTTACTTTTATTGTTATTATGTTTTATTTCTTAATGATAATTATTTTGTATTTTGTGAGTATAAACACATCATAAAACATGTAATTTAGATTTTCATAATACAAACAATTATTTCATCAGTATTATTTTTTGAAATGACGTGGTCTTTAATGGTGTTAGTTCTTTTGTTTTAAATTTTTATTTCTATCTTACTTTTGATCTGCTATTTGTTATTGTAACTATCTATTTGTGTGGTAATTTAATTATGATTTGGAGATGGTTTGTGTTTTTTTCATATTAAAAAATTATTAATTTGGTTAACATTATTTGACATATAGAATAAAAGGAGAGATGAGAAGAGGATATGAGAGTATTACATATCAATTTCTCATATTAACATTTTTTTTGTTGAATTTTTTAATGAGCACACACATAAAAATATAAATGAATAAAAAATTTAACAAATTATTATCATCTCATTTTTAGATCTATGTATTATAGAAATAAAAACCATTTCCTCAAAAAATTATGTATCTTGATAAAACAGTTTTAAAAATATTGTCACATTTATTAAAACTTAATATACTGTTCAAATATACAATGACAGTTGCAAAAATATATAACTTCCATTATTTTATCTTTTAAGTCTATATGTGTGACCTTGCTATTGAACAAAATTTTAAGTATGAAAAAATAAAATAAAAATATTAACAAAAAAATTTATTGTGAATTATTGAAAATTTGAAACACTGACCATTCACTTTCTTAAATTAGTTGAATTTTGTTGTTAATTTTTTATTTACGATTTTTATTTTTGATGTTAAAGAGAGATGCGCAATAAATGTCATATTACTTACAAATTTAATTTGAAAAATAATTTAACTTTTAATTAATTAAATAAATGACATTTTAAAATTTCTTACAAACATAAGGATGCATATCAGAAAATTTAGTATTCAAATAATTTAAATTTAAATCATACTTAAATAAAAAAAATATTCGTTTATATTTTGACATGTATGCTCATTAAAAAAAAGACAAGCACGAGAAGAGTCGTGTGTGGAGCATACATGTTCGCAGGGGATGTATGTGTTGTTCAGTTTACTCTACAAACTCCTCTCTAAACACTTTCATCAAATTTATAAGAGAGAGAGAGAGGGAAGGGGGAGAGAGGAATGCATATTACAAAGTTTACTATACAACTAATTTAAATTAAATAAAAAATATTCGTTCGTATTTTGACGCGTGTGTCGTGCCTGTTTGGACGCTATCAAGACTATGTGCCACAAGGTAATACCTGAGAGATGTTCCTCCTCAGGTATTACCTTTCTTATTAACGCACATAAATTAACATAGTTAACCAATAAAAAGATGCAATAAAACCTGAGAGATCAAAGACAACAAATGCTCCACACACGATCAAAGAAATAAATACATTCAAATATTAATTTTAAAGATGTATTTCTAATCCACCCAGGTCAGACCAAAAATTAAAATCTGCGGGTTAAGATGGTTCCCATTGAGTAAGCACAACACAAGGAGATTTATTCAAAATATGTGACTTATTTGAATGTATTTCTTTGTTGATATCCGCAATTGGAAGTTTTCTGTGCCCGGATCAATTCTGAAAAGCATTTCATAAGTCACATGTGAAAGCATTTCTTTGATTTGGCCTGAGTGAGCTCACTTATACAGAGACACTCTTAGAAGGCGGTTAAAGTCACAATGCTCAACATGTGACTGGATCGTGTTTTGAAAGTGTAAATTGTAGGTTTTTTTGTTTATAAGTTGATTATCGTGTTTTGACTGGACCGTGTAGGCTTCTATAAGCCATTTATCTTGGCTTGATTTCACCGCCTTTTATTTATTGTACCTGTGCTTTTTTTTAACGTGAGTGTGTAACGAGCTTTGTAGCCCACGGTGAGTAATATGAACGATCCAACAAGATGCATAGACAATACAATAGTCTTCCAATTAACTTTTTGGTGACAACTTACATATGATGAGATGTCCCATCAATTCATTTTATGAGGGAATATATATAAACTCGCCTAGACTCGGATAGTTCTTAATTCTATCTTAGTTCTTAATCCTCATATTTGTGATGATATCTCTCTTGTGTCCGTCTGTCTGTTTATTTTTCTATGTTGTGCGCATTAAGAAAATATGCAAGTATAATATGCAAGTAACTTCACACATAATATACACACGTTTATTTTCTTATGCTGTGCGCATTAAAAAAAACGGACAGACGGGCACGAGAGTGCCCGTCAGAACGCTAGTATATAAAGGGAACATGGAATTTTAGACTGGTCTATTTTTATTTCTATTTTATCATTTAAAATTTAATTTAGTTAATTTTAAAAACTAAAATACAAATAAAAAAATGAAGTTTTTATTAAATGTTGGTAGTTATTTTGAATTGTGGTAACTCCATAACTATTAGAGTTGGTTTTTTATTTTATTTTTTATATATAAACCTCTCAAGGTGTGATGCATAACATAAATACAAATTTATAGAGACTAAAAAAAAATGTTCATTTAATGTTTCATCCAGTGATTCTTTATAATTTATGGTTTGTGGGTGGTTAATAATTTGCTTCTTTGTCATTGTTTGTATTAGAAGTCCTATGAAAGTTCCAATGTTTGCTTCTGTGTTGTTTTTGTATTAGAGAGTAACATCAAGATTGAAACTAATTCATGCTTATATTGTCGGGTCTTATTACACTAGCATTCCATCATCAAAAGAGATAATTTTGAATTTCAAAGATAACTATTTCAAATAACATAGTTTTTTTTTGCCTATTATATGTTTTAAGAACATTATTAATTGTTTACTGGGAGAGGTTTTCATTAAAATTCAAAGGAATCTAAATTTAAATTTGCCTATTAATTTAAATGAATGGAATATTAACATCACTGGATCATCCATGTAGGATGCTTAATTCATTAATCATCATTAATTTTTCTAAATATCATTAAATGGAAAAGCAAGAGAACCATCCATTCCAATTTACAATCCCAACCCAAATTGAAATGGATGGTTCTCTTGCTTTTCCATTTAATTTTTAATAGGAGAAGAAAGTGTAGCATAGTGAATTGATTAGTGGTTATATAAGAAGATTTTTTTTAAAGTGGAGTGAATCTTTATGAATGTAAAAGATCATATTTTTGAAAAATAAATATAAAATGCGTGATGTATGAGAGAAATTATGAGTGTAAGAGAAAGAAAATGAAAAAAAAACTAAGAAAGTTCGTGGCTTTAAATTTGACTATCTTTTTATCATTTCACTTTTATTCTTTCGCATGCATCAATTATTACAATTGTATGTTAACGAAAAAAATAGTGTTGAGTAAACAAAAGTGTAGTTTTCAATTAGTAATACCAATGAAAATGAGTTACTATCTTTAAACCAAAATAGACAAAGTGCCTATCTTATCTTTTAAAATTTAATAATTGACTTGTTTTATACACAAAGAAATGAGAAAGGTCATGCTATGCAAATATATATATATATATATATATATATATATATATATATATATATATATATATATATATATATATATATATATATATATATATATATATATATATATATATATATATATATATATATATATATATATAACATAATAATTATAGATATTTTAATTAGTTGTATATATAAAATTGTATCACACTGACAGTGCAATACCTTTAAACCCTTAAAATATTGTGTGATTAGTAACTTTAGAAGGATCTGAAAGATAACTTTCATATCTTTTATTGTCGTAAAAGAGAAGAAGAAAATTATAGAATACATATTTTTTATGACAGAGACATTTTTTAAGAGTGCCACACAAATAAGAACTCTCATGCATTATACTATTTATTTGTAAGAATTATACAAATTATTATGTTGTTTTGTTTGCCTCGAAAGAAGAATTGGTATTATAAAAATTTAGTAATATTTTTTTAGATAAGTTACAAGATGTTGTGTTTAAGATATTATGTTTAAACGTACAAATAAATGTGCCCGTTTAAATACTATGTAAATAATTTAATTTAAGATCCGTTTAAATACTATGTAAATAATTTAATTTAAGATCAAAATAACACTATATATACTAAAAATACGAACAAACAAATTTCTTTGTTATAAATATAAATTATATTTAATATTTATAAGTAATTGATAAATATATATCTATATTTACGTATTAGTGCAATAATAGTTAATATTAAACTGATAATTTTCACATACCAACAACACATACTCCAACAACAAATGTCAAAATAAAGAGTTATTATATCAGTATATAATTTCAAAAATAATATTAAACTGAGTTTAAAAAAAATTTCAAATAAATAATTTATACTAAAATTAATATAAATAATTAATATTCAAATCAAAGTTATAAAAGATAAGTTAGTTACTATTTTTACGCGTTAGCGCAATTAAAAAATTAAAAAAACGGACAAAAACTAGTATAAATAGAGAATCCTCTAAACCAATTCTAAATGTAAATGTGATGAACATATATTTTTAAATATAAATAGAGACAATCCTCTAAACCAATTCTAAGTGTAAATGTATGAACAATATATTTTTAAATATAAATAGAGACCATCCTCGTATCTCCAAATCAGATCTAACCATATTCTTTTTTAAGAGTTATCAAACTTTTGAATTGTTTAACTATAAAAAAAATGAAAATAAAGGTAAAATATAAATTGAATATTCTATAGCCATACCCATGGAATCAGTTGAAAAAGAATAATTCAAAATACTTAATTAAGTTATAAGTTACGGCAATAATAAAAATGAGTGGTTGACAATAAAGTTAATCATATCCTAGGAAGTGAACGGTCGTGATTCAAACCCCAACCGCGTATCCCAACCAGCAACTCAGCTGAGGCTATCAAGAACTCGATAGCCTGCTGCGGCGACAGAAACTCCACCACATTCCGCAACGTCCTCAGCCGTAGACCATCCGCTTTCTTTATAATGCTCACCAGCCGTTGGATCTTGTCATTGATTTCAGCCTCCGAACCCATCATATCGCACGCACCGTCTTGCCACTCTGATAGCTCCTCCGTTATCGCATTCTCTTCCTTCACCTTTCATTTTCCAACAAATGACAATAAATATAATGATGAATAAATCTAACACGACGGAAATTATTACTTACCGTGTCACATTGCAAGTCGCTAACACGACGGAACTGAGTCGGCGAGAGGTCACCGAGGTCACCGGTTCTAAGGCCACGGAGGATATCGATAATGTGGGATTCAAAGAGAAGAGACGATTCAGTGTAGATGAGGTGAAAAGCAGTGGTGGGTCTCCACCCTGCGATCCAATGAAGGGATCGTTCAAGTGTGGTAGCCCAAGGAGATGCTAACACGTGGAGAGGATCTTTTTCAGCAGCCATTGATTTAGCGTTGAAGTAGTCTTCATGGTGGGACATGACCTTGCGGATTAGTTCCTCTGTGTCGGTTTCGTTTGGTGTTGTGAGTTGGTGGATTAAGCGGTTGAATTGGTCGTACCATGAGTCGTAGAATTGGGCGAAGGTGGTTGTTGTCATTGGTTTGGGGGATGTAGTGAGAAATGGTTGTGTTGGAGTCGAAAAGAGGGGTTTGGTGAAGATGATGTTTTTTCTTGAAGCGGTGGAGAGTGAAGTGGTGGTGGGGGTACAGAAGGGAGTGAGTGTTTGGGGGTGAAGACGCGTGGGCATCTTACGTGTAGTGCTCACCTTGAAAGTTCAGGGTTGCATGCATTTTTTTTGGTTGTCAAAAGAAACAAAGAAAATGACAAGAAAAAGAAATAGAAGTATGTAAAAATTAAAATAGAAAATATAATGTATTAAATGTATTATTTACTACTCCATAAAATTAATTTTTTTTAATTGGTCTTTGGGCGGAGCTTGTGAAGAGTCATCTAGTTAGGAAATATGGTTAACCAAATTATATGATTAAACTGAATTTATTGAATTAAATTGCACCATAAAAAAATCTTAGCTCTTAAATGATTGATGAACTGGAACATTTAATTCAAACAATTTTAATTCAATTTAAAATTGATTCAAAATCAATTTTTTTTTATAAATTGTTTTAATTATATAAATAAGTTTTTTATAAAAAAAATATTGAGTGTGAAAAAAATTAGAAATTAAAAAGTATTTATAATATTGAAAAATAATAAAAAAATTATTGAAAAGAATTTTTTTATTTTGAAATTGTTAATTATAAAATGAGCCATAAACAGTGTTAATTATAAGAGCATGATAGTAAAAATGTCAGAGTGGTAGATGCAACGTAAACTATAATCTGTGTTTGAATTAGATCCGTTGATGAAAAACTACTAAAATGTTGTTTTTTTAAGTAAATTATAGTATTGCTAATAAGAAAAACTTACATTAAGAACTGCTAATCTTTGTGATACTTCATACCTGAAGTGTCCATATAAACTTTGTTATCACTAACTTTATTATCACTGAAAATAATTATCATATTAAAAAATTGATTTTAAAAGAGTTCAAGTTATATTTGCCTTTTCAATTTTTTTAAAGTTAGGATAGAAAGACTAAAGAGAGTAATGTTATTTATTTGGTTTAAATGTAGTTTTGGTATCTCTATCAAAGTGCTTTTAATTTTTTTATCCTCTATTTTAAAATTTAGTTTTTTTCTTAAATTTTATTTTTCTTGTATTTTTGATACCCTACCGTTTTTCATACTTGTCATTCTCATTTATGATGTGACTGTCATGTAATGGCGTTATGTCAACTAATATTATATTTTAATTAAAATAATTTATATAAAAATCAATAAAAGAATATAAGAAGTCATATTAAATGAATGACTGAAAAACTAAAAGTCTTTTCAAATTTGAAATAGAAACTCAAATATTAAATCTTTTTTTCGTCTTGAACTTTAATCTAAATCTCTCTCTCTCATCATTCAATTCAACAAAAATTGCAAATGAAAGCCAATCGAAGTAAATTTAGAATTGAAAGTCAAGCTTAATTTGTAGTTGAATCATAATCGAATATGACATGCAAATAGAGTATTAAGATGCAATCGTAGTAATAAAGAAGTTAAGTATTGTGTGTCGCACCTAAAAAAAGAAGAATATGACGCTCGCGAAGCGCAACCGCACGCTCACAGGATGGAGTGACTGAGTTGCTACCAAACTTTATTTATTCTCAAAATAAAAAATGGAAAATATCGATAAAACACCTAAAAGAACGATAATGATATGGTCGTCACAACCAATATTGGGGTTTGGGAGTCGATAGTACAAAGGAAAGATATTATCACCCCCATGTCCGTTGTACTTAACAAGAACCATTTAGTTAGTTATGCGCATTAGCGTGAGCTTTCGAATGTTAGGCTTTCTTAAGTTATTAAGAAATTTAAAGAGAAAAAGAAATGGGTCGCAAAAAAGTATTTTTATTAATGTTCCTGACAAGATTATGGGTCTTGCTCCTACGTATCTTTGGATGCGATGGAGAATTCAAGGCTACGTAGTTCTGGATAGAAAATGTTTGTTTCTAGGTCAATTTTAGCGAAAGCTATTTTGTCACAATCGACAAAAAACATTGCTTACCCAAAACGATGGAGGGGAGAGCATTTGCATCACATTGAATGTATTTTTACATAACAACATTCACGGGAAAACATCACATATCTCAACTTACACATATGTGGACGAAACATTGTTTTGCATTGTCTCGAGACAATATCTTTCAATAGTGAAAAAGGCATTTTATCGCGCGGTGGCAAGAAAAGAGTTTGATGTGTTTGATATTTTTTGGGCGAACGACGAATAATCGAGCAACGAAACATAAGCCCACTGTCTGATTATTCGAGGAGCAGCAAGTGTAAACCTCTCATTCCTTTTTTGTCCAAGTTATTTTGATAAAATCATTACTGGAAGACGAATAATCTAACAATATGACGTAAGCCAATCATTCGATTATTCGAGGAACATGAAAGTTTAAACCTCTCATTCCTTTTTCGTCTAAGTTTGATTAGAATGTTTATTCGGATGACAAAATATTGAGCAATATGTCTTAAGCCAATCATTCAATCATTCGAGGAATTGGAAAGTGTAAACCTCACATTCCCTTTTCAATCGATTTTTATAAAGAAAATGTTTTAAACGCTATGGATAAGCGGAAAAGAAAATCTCGATGTTTATTGAGGGTTTATCATGTTAGTGGAAGATGATTTGTGAAATGAATTGAAATTAGTTGATTGTGAAATGTTTTAAATTCGAAGTTGATTATTGAAATTGAAAGAAATGTTAGTGAAGCATTGAGTCAAAATGATGCAAAATATTGTGAGTGCAAGTTTCTGTTAAATGTATTTTAAATGACGTCAAAACTATATTTTAGTGTTAATGTATATTGAACGGTATCCTCTGATTCTATATGTGCATCTTAGCATTAGGAAGCATTAAAATATTTTGTAAAAGGTTCATACATCATAAATGCATTGGAAACTAAGTTTTTATGAAAGCATTACAGTATAGGTTGACACATAGAAGAAACATTTTCCTATGTGTCGACACACAGTCTATAAGTTGACACACATGTTGTAGTATTAAAGCATGTAGGCTCTGTCCATGTGTTGACTGTTATAGGTCGACACAAGACCTTTATAAGTCGACCTAAGACCTTCATAAGTCGACACAAAACCTTTATAGGTCAACCTATAACTTTCATAAGTCAACTTATACGATGCATTTTTCCAAAAATCATAATTTCTCCATTCTTTTGCATTCTTCTTGCTTCTAAAATTGCATACTTGCTAAAGAGATTTGACATGGAAGATGCAAAATACATTGAAACTTTTATGGCCACAAATGAAAATTTGGAAAAGAATGAAAATGGTAAGGATGTATATATGAAGAAATATAGAGGTATGATTGGTTCTCTTCTATATCTTACTGCATTTAGGTCTAATATTATGTTTATCGCGTGTATGTGCACTCATTATTAATATGCTTCTATGAAATATCATTTAAAATCCGTAAAATGCATTCTTAGGTATCTTCATGGTACTTTTAAGTATGGACTTTGGTATTCTAAGGGAAACGATTGTAACTTGGTTGGTTATACTGATTCTGATTTTGCTGGTTGCAAATCGGATAGGAAGAGTACTAGTAGAACTTGCCACATGTTTTCAAATTCCTTAGTAAGTTGGCATAGCAAGAAACAAGTTTTTGTTGCTTTGTCAACTGTCGAGGCGGAATATGTTGTGGATGGTAGTTGTTGTGCTCAAAATGTATGGATTAAACAACAACTACTTGATTTTGATATAAAACTACAACGTATTCCTATTATGTGCGACAACACTAGTGCTATTAATCTAACCAAAAATATGGTGTTACATTCTCGCACTAAGCATATTGAGATTCGTCACCACTTCCTAAGTGACCATGTTGAAAAAGGAGATGTCATATTTGAGCATGTTATCGCAAAAATGAACTTGCAGATATCTTTACAAAACCTCTTGCAACCGAGCCATTTTTCAACATTATAAGGGAATTAGGGTCCTTGATATCTCAAATCTTGCCTAAGTATGAATTGTTGCATGCACTTTATATACTTTTTCTCTAAGTTTCCTTGGAAGTTTTATTACATAAGAGTGCATTCTTCACAACTCATAAGCGAGGTAATATTGTTCCATTTTCCCTTTCCTTTTGTAAATAAACTTTTTACTTTTTCATATTGCTTATATACCAAATAATTAATATTCTTGATGTATGAAATAGGTCATGAATGTTCACTTCCGAAATTTTATATTAATGTATATCGATTATATGCTTATAGTGACTTTGTGCTATTCCATCTATATGCTTGAAACATACTCTCAATGCATTGGCTTGTTATGTATTCTCTCATGAAATATGGTTGAAGATGTTATAATGTTAGCAAAATTCTTGTTGTGTGTCATTGTTATGATAACATCTTTGTTTTTGGTTTGAGTGGTGGTAAATTCATATATCTTCTTGCTAGAGCACATGCGTGTGCAACATTTCAGGAGCACCAAAGACATATGTCACGTAATCGTGTCTCTTTTTAGGCAACTCAAGAGTTTTTGATTTCATTGTATCCTTCATTTTTCATGTTTGTGTTATGCTATTTAACATAAGTTGTGGCAAGTATGTTCTATTGTTGCTTAATATGCATATTTATGTTTAGACACTCTTTTTCAATATGACAATCATTCTATGTGAGTGTTATCATATTAATATTCTTATCTTTGCAAAATGCCTCTGTATGGTAAATTGGCTCGTATGAGATATAAGATATTTCTCATGGTTTGCTTTGTATCTTTTTAATGTTGTCAAAGAGGGAGAAGCATATATAATATGAAGTTAGATGCATATATTCAGGGGGAGTCTTCATGAAGACATGAAACGTCACGAAACGCATCGTCTCAAGTTTTTCCATCATAAAAAGGGGGAGTATGTGAGTGAAACTTTTCGTTAGATGTATTTTGGATGATGTCAAAACTAGGATATTTTAGTGTTAATGTATATTGGACGGTATCCTATGATTCCATATGTGCATCTTAA